CCAAAAAGTGCTACCCGCTCGAGCGCGACCGCTCAAGCGTAAAGAAACCCGCTCGAGCGTAAATATCACACCTGTAGAAGTTTTGCAGGGACACGAAATACTGGAAGTGTGCAATCTCCGCTCGAGCGCAACAAGGCCCGCTCGAGCTTAACGACCAAAAACCTGGCAACAAGATTTTAGACCAAGGTTCAACCCACCTGTTCGAAACACGCCCAACACATCCTAAAACTCAAACATAGAGAATTAAAGGATGTCAATAAGATATATATCTACCTGCTCCACGGAACCTAAGTCCGGAACACTGTACATAAAGGGGACAAACCCGGGATAGCGTAGATTTCCCCCTCCCAGAACTTACACCAAAAATGTACTACCCGCTCGAGCTCCAGAGTACCCGCTCGAGCGCGACCGCTCAAGCGTAAAGAAACCCGCTCGAGCATAAAAATCACACCTGTAGAAGTTTTGCAGGGACACGAAATACTGGGAGTGTGCAATCTCCGCTCGAGCGCAACAAGGCCCGCTCGAGCTTAACGACCAAAACCCTGGCAACAAGATTTTAGACCAAGGTTCAACCCACTTGTTCGAAACAAGCCCAACACATCCTATAACTCAAACAAATGGAATTAAAGGACGACAACAAGATAGATACAGCTACTAACTCCACGGAACCGAGTCCGGAATACAACAAAATAGTAAAGGGACAACCGGGATCGCTATAAATGCACTTAAGACAAGTTTTTACCGCTCGGCCAATCCAGTGAGGTTACCGCAAAGAATAACATTGTCACATCACAAATTACAAATTCATAGACAAATAAACATCAAGGCACAAAACAATAGACTTACAAGTTACGATATCATGATGTTAATGAATTCTAACCAACTCGAGAAAAAAACAAATCCAAACATCGATTGGTTGTTTAACAAACGAAACCAGAAAGGAAAGTGATTAATTATCTATTCATTTCCAGAATTTTTTCACCAACTAAAAGGACAGTTGAGCAAACATATCTCTCTTTGGGGGATTCGGTAGGGGCGGCGTCAGTAGTATCGGTGGGGAGGATTCGGTCTTCGGCGACTGCGATGGTCGGAAAACGAGCTCGTCGGCGACGAAAGGAGGGAGTTAGTGGAAATTAGGGTTTTGGTGGAGGACAAAATGGGCTTTTGGAGGGGGTTGGTGGTGGTGGTGGAGAAGGAGAGTGAGATTGGAGGAGGAGGAGGAGGAGGAGGAGGAGGAGGTGGGATCTGGTTCTGGATGATCAAGCTTGGTAGTGAGGTCTAATCCTAGCTTGGATTCCAAATAGTGAACGACGTTGTTGAAGGAGGTTAAGGTGGTGGAGCTAGGGTTTGTTTGGCAGAGAAGAGACTCTAGGGCTTCAGCTATGTCCTAGTCGGACACTTCCTTTGCTTGGTTTGAGTTTTCACATAACATTTTTTAGAAAATTATATTTTTTTATTTTTTCTTTTTGTTGATTTTTTTTGATATTTTAAATAATTTTTTTTAAATTTTTAGACACACCTAACATAAATACACTTAAAAAGTATAATATTTATGAAAAAAATCTTTAAAAAATTTACTAAATACCAAAAATATAAAAAAATAAAATACAAAAACTCAATACATTTTTTTTTTGTATTTTTGTGTATTTATTAATTTTTTAAAATATTTTTTCACAAATATTTTATTATTTAGATACATCTAAGTAATTTGCATCTAAAAAAGTCTAAAAAATTGCTTAAAATTTTAAAAATATTCGCTAAAAACAAAAAAAAAATATTAAAAATAAAAAATTCAATTTCCAGAAAACTAAACTCAGAAAACGGTTGTGTTACATGCACTAATTATTGTACTAACTAGTGTACCAACATTAGTTATGACATTACTATTGACTCCACTCATTATGCAAATTACAAATACTAAAAACATTTTATACTATGTTACATCATCAATTGGTACACTAGTTAGTATACTAATTGGTTTATATAGCATTATTTTATAGTGTACCAATTGATCATGTGTCATAATTTAAGATTTTTTTAGTATTTGTAATTTGTATAATGAATGAAATTAATAATAATGTCATAAGTAGTGTTTGTACACTAGTTATTACACTAATTGATGCATGTAGCACCACTGATAAAAAATTAATGGACTTGCAAAAACTCACTCTCTCTCTCTCTCTCTCTCGCTCTCTCTTTCTCTCTCCTCTCTCTGTGTTTTCACACACCCTCTCTCTCTTTCTCTGTCTTTATAGTAGGGTGAGCAACGGATATTCCGATCCGCCCAAACTGATCGAACCGAACCGATCTGCCGTATTTTGGACGGATGCATGATGACGAGCGGACGGTTGTGGATTGAATTTTTCCAATCCGCCTAGTTTTGGAGGGATGGTGATTTTAAGGTTCCTTTGGCCGCAATCGAACCGCCAAACCGCAAGCACCCCTAGCAATTTGTAAGACTTTGTATTTTCAATTGAAAACGAGTTTAGATATTCGGTTGTGTTTTCAATTTGGAAATCCTTTTATCAAATGGCAAGTGTTGATATTTGGTATTTTTGTATGGAAAATATAAGGCTTAATTTTGTCATTTTAAAAAAAAATCAAATTAAATAGTTTTTGAATAAAAAAAGTAATAAAATAGTTTTGATAATGCATGATTTTTTATACGTATTTATTATTGGTATTTGACAATTTACTTGATAATCTTTTGATTATGTTTAATTGGATTGTTATCAAAAAATATATACATATATATATATATATATTGACAAGTTGTTGTATTATGTTCAAAATTTATAAAAGTTTAAACCGCCAAATCGATTCGCATCCATCCGCCAATCTGCTAATCCGCTTAATCCGCATCTGTCAATCCGGCATATGCGGGTTGATTGTTTTCAATCCGCCATGGCGAATTGGAAGTTTTCCGGCAACCGAACCGTGAACACCCATACTTTATAGAAACTGAAATGACCTTATCTAATGTAATGAGTGACAGGTGGGTGACGCACGGATATAATTGGCCAATTAAAAGTTGCCACGATATGTATTTGGTTTGAACTTAGTAGGTATTTGGCATACACTAAAAAGGTGCACTTTTTTTGCATACATACACTTATTTGGATCACATCAATCAACATCTATCAATATCTATCAATGTCTTCTCTTTACTTTTCTACCCACTTTCTTTACTTTTCTACACATTTTTTTTTACAAAAAGTCAAAAAGTGCACTTATTTTGAAACATCCCAAACCACCCCTATTAGCCTCAACAACCACCTGTCACAATTATAATTTTTTTTAAAAAAATAATTTGTAATAAACAAAAAAAAATCATACATCAAATTTTATAAAAATAATGTGAGAGTACTATTTTAAAAATTATTATTCACCCAAAAAACATTTTAAAAATTATAAATCATGTTATGAGTCTTTCAATATAAAAACAAATGTTAAATCAGTGGTAAATTTATCAATTTTAATAATTGGTTATAAACTTTTTCATTAATTTATAAATATTTTGTGAAAATATCATTGATTTGTAATTTTTCCAAAATAAATTGAATTAAATTACAAATATACAACCTAAAATTTATTTTAAAAATAGGTTATCCCAGTGATTTTGAAAATTACAAATACTTCCTTATCATAATTCTTTGTTTTACATAGTTAACAAAAAAATAAAATTCCTAACAACTTTTCTATACATCAATAAAATTACATTAATTGTTAATGAAAATATATTTTTGACATTATTAAAAACTGTTAATTGACTTAATTAATGAAATGGGTCATTTGTTATACAACTGAAAACTTAATGGATGAGATGTAATTTCCAAAACTATAAAGAACATTCCGTATTTTGAACAAACCTCATATAGTGTGTTTGTAATTTACCCAATAAATTGATACACTTTTGCCAACTCATTCTATATGAATTTTTGTACAAATTTTTTATTTATATATCATCTTTTTTTTTTCTTCTATTTAATAGAGAACTGCATACCATATTATTAGTGGTAGGTTACACTAACCTCCCTTGAGTGCAAATATATATATATATATATATATATATAACATATTTCAGAATTTTAATGTAATTATATTGACATTGTTTTTAATAAAACTAGTGTTGGGTTGGCAAGCCACCGATCTTATGCCTTAACTTGGATTGTGCATGTCCAAATCTATGGTCAACTGGAGACAAAACTTAGTCAAAATAAAATAAATAAATAAACAAATTTTAAATGAGTAAATATTATATAAATAAAAAAATTCATACGTAATGATGTGACTCATTAAGAGCCATTCATTTCAAAACAAAACATCATTTTTTGAATGAATAAAAAAAGACATTAAATATACATTTATTTACAATAATGACATTGCCACATGATTTTGGTGAATTTTTTTTTTTTTTTTTGTGCATAAACTGAGAAATCAGTGGTGCTACATGCACCAATTAGTATACTAACTAGTATACCAATTGATGATGTGACATAATTTAAGAAATTTCTGGTATTTGTAATTTGTATAATGATGTGGCATAATTTATGACATTATTATTAACCTCACTCATTATACAAATTACAAATACTCAAAACTTTTTAAATTATGTCACATCATCAATTGATATACTAGTTAGTACAGTAATTGGTGTATATAGCATTATTCCTGAAAAATACCCAATCTCCCATTTCATCACCCACAATTGCACCTTTAATGAGATGCCAAATAATACCAACCAATCAACTCTTTAAATTCTTCTCTCCTTTCAAAATTATTTGCCATCTCATTAGAGGTGTAATTGAGAGTGATGAAATGGAGGATTGTAGCAAAACTCCTATAAAGTTTATGTACGGATAAAATTTTCCATTTTAAATAGTTAGTACTGATTGTGGGGAAACATGACCATCAAATTCTAGGGAAAAAAAGATAACCTCTCGAGGAGAGTGATAGATAACCAATGGAATAAATGCAAATGAATAGAAGAAACACCACGATAACTACACAAAATGTAAAATCTCATTAGTTAAAGCTAAGGCAGTTTAAGAGGAAGTGCTTATTTAGCAAGATTCAATTTGTTCAGTGGGTAAATTGGCAAGTTCTTTTCTCTCTTTTTTTCTCCCCTTTTATAGATGATCCGTAATTGGTAACTTTGGTTCAAGCAATACCACAATACAAGTTTTGCCTTCGCAAGTCCCCATATAATCTCGCAAGTCCCCATCACAAGCTATTAAAATCAAATCACCGTCCTCATCTTTATACTTGACACAATAAGTTCCAGCCTCTAGGCTTAGCCTCTGTGCCACTTCTTGCTGCAACTCTGTGAGCCCCGATGACGAAGACAGACGAAACTTAATTGCATTACCTTCTGCATATTTTGCTTTCATAGTCACAACATTGGCATCTTGCATCGTCATATCATGTGGCACGGTGTGAACAATAGTGGCTGAGGGTTGAGCAGAAGGAAGATGATCATGATTCAATAGTGAGCTTTGTTCCAGATCAACACACAGGGCCGATGCATCGAGTTGAGAGCAACCAACCTTGTTTATCTTGCGAGGTGGCCACCTCTCTATACCAAAAGTCCTGCATACACGCTTCAATGTAGATTTGCTAACTGCGAAAGGAAAAATCAAAATAAGAGAACTTACTTTCTATTTGTTTCTGCAAAAAGCTCAATATATATTCACTACCAGAAGAGTCCATCTAGTTGAAATAACTACCGACATCATAAGTAACAGTACATTTTAATTTAAAAAAGTGCAAGCATACCTTTGAGGCTTTTTGCAGCATTCTCAAGGCTCAATTCTGAATTTTGTAGCATATCCTCTGGTGGAATTTTAATTTTAACTCCGATATTATTGCCATCTCTTTTTGACATCTTTACTGTGCCTCCAGATTTGTCGCCTTTTCTTTTTGACACTTTTACTGTGCTTTTCCCTTGCGTACAAGTAACAGCAAAGTTGTTTTGTTCTGTACAGCCAACATTGCTTCCAGTATTTATGGCATTCACTAATTGTTGATCTGATGAATCCACTTGCATTACCTCAAATTCACTTTGTAAGGGTTCCGACCGAGGCAAAGATATAGTAGTTTGAGGCATTTGAACAATATCAAGTTCCCCACCATTTTGAATAGGAATTTCTTCAATACGTAATTCTTCCCCAAGTTCTTCTCCAGAAGCAATCCTTAAAGTTTGGAAATTTTCTCTCATTGTTTCCCATATTTTCCTCAATGAGGTATGTGGGTTTTCACTGGCATTGTTGCTCATCGGCATAAAAAACTCTAGCACGTAAACATCATTTCCAGTGCAATTGCTGTCCAAGCATATTGCGAAGCAACCGCTTAATCTAGCCTTTAGTGCATAGTGTGCCAATGGGTACTCAGTTAGGCTAAGTTGAGTTACATCCCTGCAGAATACCATATTAGTGGACAAAAGTGCTCTCCCAACAACCCCCACGCCATTTTTTAAGTGAAACAAAGAACTGATATAACGAAAAGCACCGTCATTGTCACCATAGTCATCTTCATCTTCACCATAGTCATCTTTGTAGTAATAACAACATCCACCAAGGACGCCACCATCAACCAGAGGCCTACATGGCCAACCTACCTTGCATGGGACCCATACCTGAGCTAAAGGTAAATCATAAACTTCACATACGACTTTCAACACGTTCTTGATTTCATCCAAGGCAACCGTATGAGCTTCATTTTGAGCCTCATCCTAGTTTGAAAGTATTGTCACATCCAGGTATTAGTCAAAAAATATACCTCACCATATTAATTTAAGAAAAATAAAAAACCAAATTTGACATTGCATTATAGTTTGCTGCTTACTAATGCCATGTCCTTGTGATCGAATCCAACTGAACATTTCAGACCTTTCTTCTGCAGGGGAATGGAAAGAAGATGCAACTAAGAAATCTCATAAACTTTGAAATGTAGAATAACATTTGGCCAATAAAAGGAAACATATAAAAAACTCTATAATGGAAAAAATTCAGTCCATTGGAATATCTATTATCATGTTTGGCTCGATAAAAAGGAAAGAATATACATTGGAAATTTGGAAATTAAACCACCATATTCTCCAGTGTAGGAGAATGGTCATTTTATTGGAAAGCCAGAGATTACTAGCCATTCTATTCAAGCCTACAATCATTCCAACCAACAAAACACTACCTTAGTGTAGTAATGTCATTCCAGTTTGGGAACCGAACTAGGAATTGCACTCTCATTTTAGAACACATCCAAACAACGAAATGAAATAGACTTGACATAAGATTCTTATTAAGCGTCATTGAATTGTTCTTGCCATCCAAACATGATGTTTTAAAACACTTAGGCCATGTTTGTTTGGGTGGACATGAGCTTGGGATTGGACTAATAGTCCAATAAAATTATTAATCCGATGTTTGGTTAAACAATTGAAGTACGGACTAATTATTTTAAACTTGACTATTAGTTAAGATAGGATACATAATCCAACGGATTCGTAGTCCTAGGACTATTAGTCATGGGAATGCTAATCCAGTCCGCCCAAACAAACATGGCCTATGATCTAGAAAAATGAGAATGTGGTTTACTCTTTTGTGTGTTAACTCCTCCGAGCATAGTTAACAAACACATGACAAATTTAACAGGGTGTTTAACACTTGCGTTAAGGCATTATTTTTCTCTTTGAACAGGCAAACCCCCACCAACTTATTACACAAACAAACACACCACACCACTGTAGATGTTCTAAGAGAGAGAGTCGTGTAGAGAGTAATCAATATTAACAAGATATTGAAAATGCCAATTTGTGAGTGAGTGGGGGACTAACCTCAAAATCTTCATATATTCTGTACCGAAAGAGGTCGTTACAAATTAGTGATTTTTCTTCCACTGGTGACACTACTTCAATTACGCCAACACACCTTTGGGTAGAAGATTCAAAGACTGGGAAAGCCAAAGATTGTCGGACTCCGCAACGTAGAGCACCGTCACGCTGTGGATACTCTGTGATAGAGTAAAACTCCACATTAGGAGTGGATTCGGGGAATTGATGCTTGAACACTCGGCCAGGAAGACTTGTTCCCCCATCCAAATCAATGTCAAATTTAGAATCCATACAGATCATCCTATACCCACAAAGTCCTTCAATAACTTCATAATCACAAAATAGTGTGTTAAGAGAGAAAGGTTGGTTTCGAGTTGTAAGAAAAGACCGGCCCTCTTTTGTTGTTATGGGTGCCCAAAATTGAACTAGTATCGGCCTACGAATCCAATGTCGTATAAAGCTGTAGCTGTAAAGCAAATCTCTGATGGTCTTGTTTAAGTTGGAAATATCTGATAAAAACAAACAAATTTCAGGAGAGGATTGATTTCTGTAGGAGAGGGTTCAAGAAAGGAGTTAGAAAATTCGAAAATCGAATTCTCTAGAATATGATGAGAGGCTTAGATTCTTCAATAATCTCAACTTAGGAACACCACAACAAAGGAGATGATGGAGATAAGAGATTGGGTGAAGAAGAATTAAATTGACTTGAAACGACTAAACTATAAAATAAATAAATAAATATTCAAATCTAAAAATAATAATCATAATAAATAAAGAAAGAGAGATAGGAGTAACTCATCGCCGTCGGGGAGAGTAGAAGGACGGAGTTCGTCGTCTTCTCGGCTCCAGAAAACCCCTCCACGCATATACTCTGAAAAAAGCTTAAAGAATACGGGCAACCAGTTGAGTTCCTTGTGCATTTATTCCTTGAAATCGTCAGATAAATACGACAAAAACTCCTCCCCTTGTGCGTCGGCCATTTTTCTGAGAAATCAATCGGGGACCTTCCAGTCCCAACTATGGTGACTATGGTTCAAATTGGGTACAAAAAGGGTCACACTTCAAAAGGTTGCGTTCAAAGGGTTTTTTCCATCGACGAGTTCAAAAGGATCATTCACTCTCTACAACAAAACAAAAAAAAAATTAATAAATAACAAGTCAAGTCAATATTTTCTTACGTCCCCCTTTGTTAGATTATTATTATTTATTTTTATTTTTTTTAAGATAGGATACTCGGTTTGGCTATCATTTTTGGGTTAAAGAAAAACACAAAATGATAAAAATAAGCTAAATAAATTAATAAGAAAAATATCACATTCAATTCATAATTATTATATTTTTTTTCTTACAAAATTCAAAAAATTCAAACTAAATGAGGCTAAAAAAGTCCCAACACAAAAAGTTGGCTATAGTTTCGTTTGGTTTTAAATTTTTGGCTAAAAAAGTTTTAAAAAAAAAAATTGACTATATAAGTCAATAAGACAAAATGTCACATTCAAACCATAATCATTACATTTTTTCTCTCACAAAAGTAAAAACAAAACTATAAAAGCCAAACCAAACGAGACTAAAAAAGCCAATGCCAAACAAAGATTATATTAGTCAATATTAAATGAAGCTTCAACGAATATTTCGATCCATTTAAATTAACCGAATCAAATTGATCCGTCACATTTTTTATGGATGCGTGATAACGAGTGGACGGTTGCGAATTGATTTTTTTCAATCCGCCTAATTTTAGACGGATGGTAGATTTAAAGTTGCTTTAGCTGTAACCGAATAGCCAAACTGTGAGCACCCTCGGTAATTTGTAAGATTTTGTATTTTTAATTTATTTAGATATTCTATTTATGTTTTCAATTAAAAAAGATTTTAGATATTCTATTATGTTTTCAATTTAGAAATCATTTTATCAAATGACAAGTGTTGATATTTGATATTTTTATATAAAAAAATATAAGACTTAATTTTGTCATTTTTTTAAAATCAAATTAAATATTTTTTGAATTAAAAAAAATTAATAGGTGACACTAAACAAATAGGTGAAATAGTAGACACATAGGTTAAAATAATATGATCTTTTAAATTATTATTGTTTTTATGGCCTTAACAACTTAAAGCTTGGAGTTGTTGACCCCAAAGTTTCAAAATTAAATTTATGGCCCAGTGCCCTATACCTTTCATATTTTCAATTTAAATTTGAACACTTTTTACTTGATAATTTGATGAGTTTATAAACATTATAAAAATTTAAGTTATTCAAATTCAACTCAATTAGATTAAAAAGATAAATAACACTTATTACTTTATAATTTGATGAGTTTATATACATTATAAAAATTTAAGTTATTCAAACTCAATTCAATTAGACTATAAATAAGCCAAACTTAAATATATTTGATAAAAACTTACTAAATTATCCAATAAAATTTTGAACAACTTATTAATCAGCTCAACTCAGTTGGTTCACTGAACACATCGACAAAAGTGCTTCTTCAGTGTGCATTGATCAATGTACTTTAGGTGATAGGCATTCGAAAATTCAGCTGGTTACTAAGCCAAATTGTGTGGGTGAAAATCTGACCACACTGCCTGCTTAGTAACCAGTTGGAGAGCACAGGCAGAATAGATGGCTTCAGTAACCTGCAACAGAAAGAAAAGGCTCCAACGGTGGTTCTTGTTATTCAAACTCAATTCAATTAGACTATAAATAAGCCAAACTTAAATATATTTGATAAAAACTTACTAAATTATCCAATAAAATTTTGAACAACTTATTAATCAGCTCAACTCAGTTGGTTCACTGAACACATCGACAAAAGTGCTTCTTCAGTGTGCATTGATCAATGTACTTTAGGTGATAGGCATTCGAAAATTCATAATAAATAAAGAAAGAGAGATAGGAGTAACTCACCACCGTCGGGGAGAGTAGAAAGACGGAGTTTGTCGTCTTCTCGGCTCCAGAAAACCCCTCCACACATATATTCTGAAAAAAGCTTAAAGAATACGAGCAACCAGTTGAGTTCCTTGTGCATATATTCCTTGAAATCGTCAGATAAATATGAGAAAAATCCCTCCTCTTGTGCGTAGGCCATTTTTCTGAGAAATCAATCGGGGACCTTCCAGTCCCAACTATGGTGTTTAAATACAAATTTTTCAAGCAACTATGGTTCAAATTGGGTACAAAAAGCATCAGACTTCAAAATGGTTGCGTTCAAAGGGTTTTTTCCATCGAGGAGTTCCAAAGGCTCATTCACTCTCTACCAAAAAAATAAATAAATAAATAACAAGTCAAGTCAATATTTTCTTTTCTTAAGTCCCCCTTTGTTAGATTATTATTATTTATTTTTTTATTTTTTAAGATCGATAAAAGTCAAAACGAAAATATTAGGATACTCGACCCTGGTGTGGCTATTATTTTTGGATTAAAAAAAATACAAAATGATAAAATAGGCTAAATAAATTAATAAGAAAAATATCACATTCAATATATAATCATTACATTTTTTTTCTTACAAAAGTCAAAAAAGCTAAAAAAATCCAAACCAAACAAAACTAAAAAAGTCCCAACACAAAAAATTAGTTATAGTTTCGTTTGGCTTTAGATTTTTGGCTAAAAAAGTACAAAAAGACAAAATTGACTACATAAGTCAATAAGACAAAATGTCACATTTAAATCATAATCCTTACACTTTTTCTCTCACAAAAGTAAAAACAAAACCAAAAAAGCCAAACCAAACGAGGCTAAAAAAGTTAGACTAAAAAAGTCCCAACATAAAAAAGTCGGCTAAAAAAGCCAATGCCAAACAAAGATTATATTAGCCAATGTTAAATGAAGCTTCAGCGAATATTTTGATCCATTTAAATTAACCAAATCAAATTGATCACATTTTTTATGGATGCATGATAACAAGCGGACGGTTGCGAATTGATTTTTTCCAATCTGCCTAGTTTTGGACGGATGATAGATTTGAAATTCCTTTAGCCGTAACCGAATAGCCAAACTACAAGCACCCTTGGTAATTTGTAAGCCTTTGTATTTTTAATTTGTTTAGATATTCTGTTTATATTTTTAATTGAAAAAGATTTTAGATATTCTATTGTATTTTCAATTTAGAAATCCTTTTATCAAATGACAAGTGTTGATATTTTGTATTTTTATATAAAAAATATAAGGCTTAATTTTGTCATTTTTTTAAAATCAAATTAAATAGTTTTTGAATAAAAAAAAATAATAGGTGACGCTAAACAAATAGGTGAAATAGTGGACACATGGGTTAAAATAATATGATCTTTTAAATTATTATTGTTTTTATGGCCTTAAAAACTTAAAGCTTGGAGTTGTTGCCCCTAAAGTTTCAAAATTAAATTTATGGCCCAGTGCCATACCTTTCATATTTTCAATTTAAATTTGAACACTTATTACTTGATAATTTGATGAGTTTATAAACATTATAAAAATTTAAGTTATTCAAACTCAACTCAATTAGACTAATAAATAAGCCAAACTTAAATATATTTAATAAAAACTTACTAAATTATCCAATAAAATTTTGAACAACTTATTAATTAGCTCAACTCAGTTGATTCACTGAACACATTGACAAAAGTGCTTCTTCAGTGTGCATTGATCAATGTATTTTAGGTGATAGGCATTCGAAAATTCATAAGCACCAGTGCAAGGGATGAATTATGTCTCAAGGATATAGCGTCAAATGATAGCCTTAATCATTCATCCGTTTTCCTATTCTACAATATATTTTCTGTAAGTTATACAATTTCAATTTTTCCAGTTTCAATACTTATTTCTATTATTTATAAATATTGTTTTGTTTTTTCAGAACAGTGTTGTTAGGGGTGTACACGGTCCGGATTGGTTTGGTTTTGAGAAAATCCAAGAACCGAACCGATCCTAACGGTTCTGTGATTTTGAGAACCAGATCACACCGTTACACTTGTAAAACCGGACCAGAACCAAACCCAAAAAACGGTTCGGTTTCGGTTTTGTTTACGGTTCCAAAAATTTCTATTTACAAGAATAAATTGTTAATAATAGCAAAATAATTACTTAAACTAATTACATTTAACTCTTGATAAAAACTAATAATATTAAGGCATTACTTAATATTACATATCTATACCATCCTAATATCATTAAAATTATAAAAAACCAATTAATAGTTGGTTATTATTTATTAAATATTATATATATACATATATCTTTTAAAATTCAGTTCGGTTCGGTTCGAACCGTGGTTTTTTCATAAAATCCATTAACCGAACCGTTTTTACGGTTCTCATATTTCTTAATCTGAAACCGAACCAATTCTTAATGGAACCGAACCAAACCGTATGATTCGGTCTGGTTCGGTCCGGATAACCGGTTTGAACGGATTTTTGAACAACCCTAAGTGTTGTTTGGTTTACTACAATAATTTTTTGTATTTCGGATTCTGCTTCTATTTTGCAAAAGTACCAAGGGCTTTTCTTCATGTTTTGAAATTGTAACTCTTCTAAATTTCCAACAAGAAAAATGTTAAAGAAAAACAAATTTTATATATATATATATATATATATTTAAAATAAAAATTTTGTTGCCATTTGGAGGATTTATAAAGAACTAAACAATACAAAATATTTAAATCAGATTTAACTCAGGCACAATCACTTTCAAAATATTTTTATTCTACCAACTAATACTAAATTTCTAGGTGATGAATTATAAAAAAGATGGAATGCAAAAGCAATTGCAAAACTAACAATAAGTTAAGCAAAAGTGATCATCTCTGCCTTATGACTCACAAACTGAGCTGGCTTGTCTTCAACCCAAGAAATGTTCTTCAACTTTTTTAAGACTTCTTTTTTTCAAAAAAAAATAGAAGAAATTTTTGTAATCTCATTGCCATTTATCTTAATTTTTATTGTTTGATCTAAGTTTAACTTAATTTCAAGGTGTATTTGATTATTTTGATTAAAGAATTAATCACTGTATTATCTATATTTATGTTGGTGTGCATCAAAAGGTCACGCGTAATTGGCACACAAGATAAAAGCAGA